GGGCACATTCAGAGGTGCCTGTTCCTGCTCGGCTGAACAGAAATGTTCCCCGCTGTTAGCCACATGGTGGGGGGAGAGGTGAAGTGATCATCCCAGAGAATTGGGTGTGTGGGGGAGGGGGGTAGTTGGGTTTGTGCTGCATGTTAACCCGGGAACCGCAGCCCCTCCTTTTACATTGCAAACCCATTTTAAATGGCCAACCCAACGGGTGCTTGGTATGGGAAATGAGGGCGCTGCTGTTTGAAATCATTCCCACATGTTATGAAGGTTAAAAAAGCCAAAAGACTGTGGCTTACCATGGCTGCCTGCAAGCTGAATTCTGTTGCCTGGCACTGCGTGAGTGATCTCTCACACCAAACCGGCAGGTCCTCAATATAAGAGGAAAAATGCAACCTTGTAACGAAAGCACATGTGCTGTGTAATGTGAACAGCAAAATTTAACGTGAAAGAGTGTACCCATTGTTCTCTAAAATGTGTCATTTTTAACCACCTCTCCCTTCTCCTCCACCAGCTGCAAATGTTTCTCCTTCACAGAGACTAGTGAAGATTAGAAGAAGAAAACGGCAGACTCGGGATGATATGTTCTCGGAGCTCCAGATGTCCTCCCACACTGACAGAGCACAGCAGAATGTGTGGAGGCAGTCAATGTCAGATTGCAAAAAAGCACAGTATGAACGAGAGAAGAGGTGGCGGGCTAAATCGCGGGCTGAAGAGAGCAAGTGGCGGGCTGAAGATGATAGGTGGAGTCAGCTTGCTGACAGAAGGCAAGAGTCAATGCTCCGGCTGCTGGAGCATCAAACTGAAATGCTCCAGCGTATGGTTGAGCTGCAGGAAAGGCAGCAGGAGCAGAGACCGCCGCTACAGCCCCTGTGTAACCAACAGCCCTCCTCCCCAAGTTCCATAGCCTCCTCACCCAGACGCTCAAGAACACAGTGGGGGAGCCTCCGGCCACCCAGCCACTCCACCCCAGATGATTACCCAAGCATCAGAAGGCTGGCCTTCAATAAGTGTTAAAGTTTTAAACTGCAGTGTGTCCTTTTCCTTCCCTCTTCCCCCACCCCTCACGGGCTATCTTGGCAGTTATCCCTCTAGTTGTGTGATGAATTAATAAAGAATGCATGAATGTGAAGTAACAATGACTTTATTGCCTCTGCAAGCGGTGCTCGAAGGGGGGAGGGGAGGGTGGTTAGTTTACAGGGAAGTAGAGTGAGCCGGGGGGCAGGGGGGAGGGTTCATCAAGGAGAAACAAACAGAAGTTTCACACTGTAGACTGGGCAGTCACAAAACTGGTTTTCAAAGCTTCTTTGATGCGCAAGACGCCCTGCTGTACTCTTCTAACCGCCCTGGTGTCTGGCTGCGCGTAATCAGCAGCCAGGCGATTTGCCTCAACTCCCCACCCCGCCATAAATGTCTCCCCGTTACTCTCACAGATATTGTGGAGCGCACAGCAAGCAGCAATAACAATTGGAATATTGGCTTCGCTGAGGTCTATCCGAGTCAGTAAACTGCGCCAGCGCGCTTTTAAACATCCAAATGCACATTCTACCACCATTCGGCACTTGCTCAGCCTATAGTTGAACAGGTCCTGACTACTGTCCAGGCTGCCTGTGTACGGCTTCATGAGCCATGGCATTAAGGGGTAGCCTGGGTCTCCAAGGATAACGATAGGCATTTCAACATCCCCAACGGTTATTTTCTGGTCCAGGAAGAAAGTCCCTTCCTCCAGCTTTTGAAACAGACGAGTTCCTGAAGATGCGAGCATCATGTACCTTTCCCGGCCATCCCACGTTGATGTTAGTGAAACGTCCCTTGTGATCCACCAAGGCTTGCAGCAGCATTGAAAAGTACCCCTTGCGGTTTATATACTCAGTGGCTTGGTGCTCCGGTGACAAGATAGGGATATGGGTTCCGTCTGTCGCCCCACCACAATTTGGGAATCCCATTGCAGCAAAGCCATCCACTATGACCTGCACGTTTCCCAGAGTCACTACCCTTGATATCAATAGGTCTTTGATTGTGTTGGCTACTTGGATCACAGCAGCCCCCACAGTAGATTTGCCCACTCCAAATTGATTCCCGACTGACTGGTAGCTGTCTGGCGTTGTAAGGTTCCACAGGGCTATCGCCACTCGCTTCTCAACTGTGAGGGCTGCTCTCATCCTGGTATTCTGGCAGGGGAAAGCAAGTCACAAAGTTCCATGGAAGTGCCCTTACGCATGCGAAAGTTTCGCAGCCACTGGGAATCGTCCCACACCTGCAACACGATGTGGTCCCACCAGTCTGTGCTTGTTTCCCGGGCCCAGAATCGGCGTTCCACGGCATGAACCTGCCCCAGTAACATCATGATTTGCACATTGCTGGGGCCTGTACTTTGTGAGAGGTCTATGTCCATGTCAATTTCCTCATCACTCTCATCACCACACTGCAATCGCCTCCTCGCCTGGTTTTGCTTTGGCATGTTCTGGCTCTGCATATACTCCAGGACAATGCGCGTGGTGTTCATAGTGCTCATAATTGCCGCGGTGATCAGAGCGGGCTCCATGATCCCAGCGCTATGGTGTCTGGGCTGAAAAAAGGCACGAAACTATTGTCTGACGGAGGGAGGGAGGGAGGGAGGGAGGGGCGAGTGACAACATGGCTTACAGGGAATTAAAATCAACAAAGGTGGCTGTGCATCAGGGAGAAACACAGACAACTGTCACACAGAATGGCCCCCCCAAAGATTGAAGTCAAAACCCTGGGTTTAGCAGGCCGTTGATTTCACGGAGGGAGGGGGAAGCAAATGAATACAGAACAAATCTGGTCCATCTATCTTTTACATCTTAAGCTGGCAGCAGATGGTGCAGCATGACTGTTAGCCATCGGCATCTTCTGGGTGCTTGGCAGAAGATACTGTACTACAACTGCTAGCCATTATCGTCAAGACGGTTCAATAGGACTGCCGGCAGGACTGAGTCTCCAGGAGACAAAACATGTCTGCCCAGGTGCCTCTGACCGAACTCACTGAGGAGTACGAGGAGGACGGATACCAGTCATAATACACCATCCACTGCCAAAAGGCAAGGAGCTGCTGCTGTATAGCAATGCAGCCCCACGTTTGCCAGCACCCAGATAGCTGATGACGGCTACCAGCCATACTGCAACATCTACTGCCAAAAAGCAATTAGCTGCTGCTGTGTAGCAATGCAGTACCATGTCTGCCAGCACCCAGAGGACATATGGTGATGGTGAGCTGAGCTGAGCTGAGCGGGATCCATGCTTGCCGTGGTATGTTGTCTGCACAGGTAACCCAGGTAAAAAGGCGCGAATTGATTGTCTGCCGTTGCTCTGACGGAGCGGGAGGGGCCTGACGACATGTATCCAGAACCCCCCGTGACACTGATTTTGCATCATCAGGCATTGGGATCTCAACCCAGAATTCCAATGGGCGGCGGAGACTGCGGGAACTGTGGGATAGCTACCCACAGTGCAACGCTCCGGAAGTCGACGCTAGCCTCGGTACTGTGGACACGGTCCGCCGACTTAATGCACTTAGAGCATTTTATGTGGGGACAAACACAATCGACTGAATAAAACCGATTTCTATAAAACCGGCTTTTATAAATTCGACCTAATTTCGTAGTGTAGACATACCCTAAGGTGCCACAAGTACTCCTGTTCTTTTTAGAAAGTTTAGTTTGCTTTAGATCTGACTTTTGATTTGTATATTCATGGAAGTACAATTTTATCTATACAGTGTTATGGGCAGTTTTATGATTTTGACCAATAACTTGCAGGACAGGGGTCTTCTGTAGTTTTGGATGGACCTTCTTGCATTTAAATATATTTTAATAAAAGCAAGAATAGGTTTGTCCTATTATTGTAAGCTGTTTTGAGACAGGGAATTAGTAAAGTAAACTTGTGGCTTTTTCTAATTTTCTTTCCATTTAATGTCTTGAATTCAGAAACTTCTCTTTTGGGGCAAGAGGAACTTGTTTAATACTAACTACAATAATTTATCCAAGTTAAAAGGGACTGTTTGGGTAAGTAACTATTTATTATTTGCATTATGATACTGTCTGGGGAGCAACCGAGAACAAGGTCCCATTGTGCTAGGCACTGTACAGTGTAATAGACAGTCCCTGCCCTGAAGGGTTTTCAGTTTAAATTGACAGCACAGGCAAAGGTTAGGGGAAAAGACAGAACACACAAGCAGAATGATGGTTTGCAAATGTCATGCTGGTGTCAAGATTGTTTTGTGGGGATCTGATGGGTTGTTGTTTAATTCTTTGGGGGAATTGTTATGGGATTAGCTAAATGGAAACACAGTGGGCAGGCGAAGGCAGGGAGGGGAGCATTCAGGGCAGGCGGAAGAGACAGAATGAGGGCAGCAGTTGTTGGAGTAAGCAGTTGAAAGGCAGAGTCCGAAAGCAGAAAGGATTCTGACATCCGTGTCCACAAGTCCCTGTTCCAGCTACTTCTGCATCTGCTCTTGCAGGCTTAAGAATTTCTCGGCCTCCTCCCTTTCCTCTCCCCACCTCTCTCCAAACTGGCTCCTTCCTGCAGTGTCTTTTCCCCCCAAGCCCACATGACTCAGGTGTGGGGGTGCTGCACAGGTCCTGTGGTCCCAGAGCTGTGGTGCTGAATGTGAGAAAAATAATGATGAGGTGAGGATAATTTCTGGGAGTTGAAAGTAAGGAAAGTGAAACTGAGAGGATTGAACACACAAATGTGAAACTAAATGATGCCTTTCTCTGATTACATTAGGTTGGATTTATTAGTATCAAATTATAAAATGTTCAAAGTGATACAATTAAAATAAGGAATTTGTTCAGAAGTCAAATACTGCCTGTTCTCCCCTTCACCCTGCTTTCCATTTTCACAGCACAAACTGACAGTTACACCAGCAAGATCATTGCATATGGCATGCTGCAGATAATAAAAAGTTGTTTTGCCCATCAAGATAATGTACACTTTGGCAACATCATTTCTCCAATGCTCAGTCCTTTGACTGTGGCTGCACCCATCGTTCACTGGGATATGCATTTCTTAACTCAGCTGTGGCTTTTTGCTGACCTTTGATTCCTCAGGCTCTTCCTATACTAACCAATAACACTCTGAATTCAGCGCTGGAAGCATCTTTCACTGGACTCTTCTCCTTTTAGTTTCCCCTTTAGGTTTATAGTAAAATCCCCAGCAATCCTGGGAAGAGCATTTATTTAGTTTAGAATGCAATATGGTCTCCACTTTGACAGCTCAGAAGCAGTCAAGCTGCATTTCTGCAGCAGTAAACAGTTAGTGTAACTGCAAATTGCTCTCCACAGGTACTAGCAGGACACCAGAACATTCTTGGAAAAGTTTGAATTTCAGAGTAGTGTCCCAACTGATCCAGGTGTCTCTCAAAGGCCAGAAGAGCTATCAGGATCTTGTCAAGGTATCTTACATAATAATTTTATGATTATTTTTCCATAACTCCTTGGAAACTTGAAATGGAAATCTATTTCCTTGACAAAAACTGTTCTGTTGTGTGTTCATTAATTTGCTGTAGGGTTGCTCATGAGTTGGCATGAGAACTTTTGCAGATAAAATATGTATAATTATTTGCGTTTTTTTTTAAAAATGCAAAAAGAATAACAAGATTTTGGAAATAGGGTGACCAGACAGCAAATGTGACAAATCGCGACCGGGGTAGGGGTGGTAATAGGAGCCTATATAAGAAAAGGCCCCAAAATTGGGACTGTCCCTATAAAATCGGGACATCTGGTCACCCTAGAAATAGATGAATAGAAAATAGTAATACTAACATTGCTTTTCTTTGCCTGGGCAGGGCTCTTAACTTTATTTTAAACAATAAAATAATTAACCTTGGGAAAGAAGTGTCCACAATTTTTCATGACAAAGTTATAGAGAAGAAAGACCTGTACAGAACTGTTTACAGAGTTTACTGCTGTATCTTCTGTTTGGCACAGCTCTGTAGCAGGCTTAGCCAATGCAGGAAAACTTGTTTCTTTTAAAAAGGGAAAAGTATTGTGATAACAAATATCCCATTTGTTTAGGGATTTACCCAAAACCAAATAAATGGTATTTATTTAATAGTAATTTTTATAATAATAATATGTATGGCATCATTAATGCCACAAATATTATGGTGATTAAAAATAGCATGCATTACTATCCATTCCTTGTTGTTCTGTAGCCATTTTCACCTGGTAATAATGTTGCTTTTATTCACATAGATCCTTATGTTGAATATCAAATGTTTATGGTTTCTCCCTCAAATAAAATCTACTAGTATAAACATATTATCCATTAGGATCAATTAACATCCAACTCTCTCAAAATCCATGTAAAGGTGAGATCTGTGCAGACATAGAGTTCTCAACCCATTGACCCACAGCTGTGCTATATTAGAGGCATAATGATGATCTGGCGTTTAAAGTGGCTCTTTCTTCTTCTTACCCCTGAGAGCTCTTTTCAGCCAAGGATCCCAAATAGTTTACAGACTTAAACAGATACACAAGCTCTACTCAAGGATCACTTCACCCAAAACTAAAGTGCATCTGCTTTGGGGTCAAAGGCAGCAGCTGTCTGACAGTACACACTAACACTGCATAACAGTTTTGGAGAGGGATCCTATATCCCATTTAGGAAGGCAGGATGTAGTTCCTAAGCTGGAATTTGGCCAGGACATCTGGGTTAATATCCATAATGTTATGAAAAGCATCACAGGATCTTTAATGTTCATGAGTGGTCAAGACCTTAATGTATAATAGAAAATATAAATACACTATAATAAATAATACATCTTTATTTTAAATCTCTCCTTGCTGAAGGATTCTGGCTGTTGTACAATGAATAAACTAAGAGCAATTAATAAACTTGAGGACATTGGCTAATCTTCATTGCTTCCAGACTGGCCAATTCCTTAGGGGTTGGGGAGGCCTGTGTGGTCTTTGTACTAGGAAAGGGATGGGGGAAAACAGTTCATTTTGGTTCTCCTGGGCAAGGTTAGTTAGGTTACTGTGAAAATGTCAAAGACTGGAAGGAAAGACTGAAACTTCTGACCATTCTAGAGATGAAAAACCTCTGCAGAAAAGATGACCTTCTGCAGTCAGCTCACAATCACAAAGTCTGTAGAACAACTCATAATATTTGGGGCAGACTTCATCAATACAGATAAGACCCTTTCAAACTGCAGGGACTCTCAATTTTATCCAATAGGGAGCAGAAGATAAAAGCCCTAATGATCCCAATTAGACACTGATTTAATTATGTTTGGGAAAAATCATGGACTTTTTACAGTTTGTTACAATGCGGTTATGTGGCCATGTCTGTGACATTTCATGCTTTATTCTAGAGTTCATTTACCTTTTGGCCTTTTATCATAGCAATGCCTCGGTATTCCCAAATGCCCAGCACTGCTGTTGACTTGTGCAGAAAATAGGGAATGGTTATAGCTACCAAGTTTTGTGCAGTTCCATGTGAGACGTTTTGTGCAAATGATTTAATTAGCTAATTTGTATACGACCTTTGGCTTTAAAAAATGGTGTAGATTTAGTGCTGGTGAAAGGCGTTGGCTTGGTCTTCTGTTTAGCTAAAGCAGAACAGCAGGGCAAGCTTTCCACAAACCCTGACCATCCAGTATGCCTCATCCCTGATCTTGGGGAAGGGGAAAGGACTTTCCTGCAGAGATAGTAGGGATAGTTCTTAAAAGGGAGTCATATATGTATTCTCAGACAAAATAAAACCTACATGAAGGTGGAACTGAGTTTGAGAATACACTAAGGGTAAAAATATAACTAATAGGGATATTATAATTATCCCCAAATGAAGCATAATAAATCCACAAAATTTCTAGTTAAGGTTACACTTGAAAGAAATCCAAAGATGTCAAGATAAGAAATGTTGTGTGCAGTGTAGTTGCAGTTGTAGCCATGTCAGTCCCAGGATATTAGAGAGACAAGCTGTGTGAGGTCATATCTTTTATTGGACCAGATTCTCTCCCCAACAGAAGTTGGTCCAATAAAATATATTACCTCACTCACCTTGTCTCTCTCGGGTAAGAAATGCACAATTAAGGCCTGGTCTACATTAGGAATTTACAACGGTATAGCGATGTTTCTCAGGGAAATCCATACCCCTGAGAGACATCGCTATACCGACCTAACCCCAGTATAGACCAGCACTAGGTCAATGGAAGAATTCTTCTATCAACCTAGCTACTGCCTCTTGGGGAGGCCTACAGTGATGGGAGGACTTCTCCCGTCAGCATAGGTAGTATTTATACTGAAGTGCTACAGCTGCAGCAGTGCCACTGCAGCATTTTAAGTGTAGACAAGCCCTCAGGAACTCAAACAGCATTAATTGTCAGACACATAGATGAACATAATTTGTTGGGGAAAACGACAACATGGTTTTTGTAAAGGGAAATCATGCCTCACCAATCTACTAGAATTCTTTGAGGGGGTCAACAAGCATGGACAAGGAGGATCCAGTGGACACAGTGTACTTAGATTTTCAGAAAGCCTTTGACAAGGTCCATCACCAAAGGCTCTTAAGCAAACTAAGCTGTCATGGGATAAGAGGGAAGGCCCTTTCATGGACTAGTAACTCATTAAAAGATAGGAAACAGAGGGTAGGAATAAATAGTTAGTTTTCAGAATGGAGAGAGGTAAATAGTGGTGTCCTCCAGGAGTCTGTACTGGGACCAGTCCTATTCAACATATTCATAAATTATCTGGAAGAAGGGGTAAACAATGAGGTGGCAAAATGTGCAGATGATACAAAACTCAAGATAGTTAAGTCCCAATTAGACTGCAAAGAGCTAGAAAAGGATCTCACAAAACTGGGTGACTGGGCAGCAAAATGGCAGATGAAATTCAAGGTTGATAAATGCAAACTAATGCACATTGGAAAACATAATCCCAACTCTATATATAAAATGATGGTGTCTAAATTAGCTGTTACCATTCAAGAAAGAGATCTTGGAATCATTGTGAATAATTCTCTGAAGACATCCACTCAATGTGCAGCGAAGGTCAAAAAAGCGAACAGAATGTTGGGAATCATTAAGAAAGGGGTAGATAATAAGACAGAAAATATCATATTGCCTCTATATAAATCCATGATATGCCCACATCTTGAATACTGCGTGCAGATGTGGTCACCCCAGCTCAAAAAAGATATATTGGAATTGGAAAAGGTTTAGAAAAGGGCAACAAAAATTATTAGTGGTATGGAACGACTTCTATATGAGGAGAGATTAATAAGACTGGGACTTTTCAGCTTGGAAAAGAGATGATTAAGGGGGGGATATGATAGAGGTCTATAAAATCATGACTGGTGTGGAGAAAGTAAGTAAGGAAGTGTTATTTACTCCTCAGAACACGAGAGCTAGGAGTCACCAAATAAAATTAATAGGCAGCAGGTTTAAAACAAACAAAAGGAAGTATTTTTTCACACAACGCACAGTCAACTTGTGGAACTCCTTGCCAGAGGATGTTGTGAAGGCCAAGACTATACCACGGTTCAAAAAAGAACTAGATAAGTTCATGGAGGATAGATCCATCAATGGCTATTAGTCAGGATGGGCAGGGATGGTGTCCCTAGCTTCTGTTTGCCAGAAGCTGGGAATGGGTGACAGAGGATGGATCATGTGGCATCATGTAGAGCTGTCAGAAAGTGGCCATAAACTACTGTAAATACCTCCCAATGGGTGTAGAGTTCCTATATCCTAGCTATCAGACTCAGAGGTCCATGTTTCTGCCATGTATACCTGGAATACACCTCTCATTAAGGAAGCCGCTGGGCACGTTGTTTAAATTTATTCTGCATGTTATTTGGAATGTATTTAAGGCCGAGTTAGGACACTGGTGATAAAACAGCAGTATAATAATGAAAAGCTTTTGTATAATAGCAATATAATGATGAGAAGCTGCTCCTCAGGGCAGAGGCACATATTATCTACTGATCAGCTCCATATACATCTTTGGTGCTATATTAAAGATAATTAAATGTTATTGTGATACAGTAACAACTCCTTTCATTGATATAGTGCTCCAATAGCTCACCATGTGTGCATGTTGCATTGACAGAGGGTAACAGTCACTGAACTAATTTAGAAGGCTCATTAATAAAGGGTGATTTATATTCTGGATTTACAAAGGAAAAGAAAGGAATATTCCTGGCATCGCTAACTCTAGAGCCGAGATGGGAAAAAAAAAGCAGATGACATCACCATAAGGAGGGAGAAATGATCTTCAGATGGACAGGTAACAAAGAGCTGTTTGTGTTTATGTATAATTAACTAGCCTGCACAGTGAAGCAGGTAGGTGTTACTCTGCTGCATATATTGCATGTATGCAGCTCATTCAGGACGCCAGAAAGGGTGCCCTTCTTAAACCAGTATGTTGTAAGAGAAAGACAGTACCCAGGG